ATCTCCTGGGAGACTGCGTGTCAATTTCTGAAGTGCTGCAGCTTGATAAATGCCTCAGATACTAAGCACTCCTCAGGAGATAGCCGAGTAACTCTAAAAAAGAAGTTATGTCATGTTTCAACCAAATAAGGACAGAGCGAGCCTTACAGAATTTAATAGAATTAACAGATCTGCCACAGAAAAAAAGTGTTTAAGTGTAACATCATAGGTTATAGACAATGAATTTTAGCAATGACGATGGAATTGCATATGACGCAAATAAAGATGCACTAAAGGGGAGAAAATCTAGCTAATAACCAACTCAAGAATGGTACTACCATTATAATGATAAAGTATTAGAACAATCCACTTTAAAAAAAAACACAAAACATTAATATATAATTAAAGCAAAAAAATAAAATAAAATGAGTGGAGATGGGAGAATTAATATAATATTCAGGTGAAGACTACGCTCTTTAGTTCTGCCAGTCTCACAGCAGCATCACCCAACACATTTAAGAGGCTAACACACAGACAACTACATTAAAATAAGTGAAACATCCCTTCCACGCTACTGCGAAATGGAAACCACTTCTGACAGTGAAGTCATAATCACAGAGGTCTGGAGAAGAGCGCTGATGAACCGCTGGAGGACACCAGCCACACTCTTCCATCCCAATAAGGCAGAACGTTCTTCAAGCACTCACCCCACGTTAAGGTGAAATACTTTTCAGAAATATTTTCTTGGTTAAACTCCCTCACTCAGACATTCAAAACCTCTAACCACAAAAAGGCCACAAAAATACATCAAAGTAGAAAGATGTTTTCAGCAGTACTGCACTAGTTCAGCCAAAACATAATTCAGATTTGAAACCCAGATCAGACAGTGTGGTAAATTTCAGTACAGGGTGGCAGACATCCAATTTGCATTGCACTCATTATTTTTATGGACAACCACCTTGGCATATGCAAAGTTTCAACTGAGAGGAGTTCCTTTTTTCTCTCTAGCTCCATGAAGTCCATCATGGTCCAGTTTTTAACGAAACTATCAGCCAAAAATACTCACCGTCTTTCCTTCATTCTTCAGGCTTCTAACGGAGACATTTTCAGGTAAACTTTAAACCCCATTCACACCAAAAAAAAAGAAAATCTGTTCCAGTCAGAGAAATGTAATTCTTACTGAAGCGTGCTAAGGAGAACAAGTCTGTGCCAAAACCAAACTCCCGTTTATTGACTCCATCAGTTCCTCCTTGCACACACTTGCTAATCTTTGAGAAATCATCTCTACTCTGCTTCTACCTTCTTGCTAAGTGTAATTGGATAACTAATCCACACCACACTGCAAACTACTCTGTTTTTCCACAACTCTATGTTAACTAGGGGAATACTTTCCACTTCATGTTCTGAGCTCTTCAGAATGGGATGAGGAGGACATTCCCCATGTACTGAAAGACAGGATTTTCTGGCACTTCAGCAACAAACTATTAAAGGATGAAGAAAAATTCAGCCTACGTTATACTCCACAGCTGTTAATATTTGCTCAGAGTAGCTGATGAATACAGCTGTACTGCATCACAGCTGAAACCATCACCACTGTGCAAGGCTAAGCCTTTCCAACCCATGTGAGAACTATTTACTCCTAGATGGGGATGCATGCACATACTAAATCCCAGATAGTCCTGCCAACTATTTGCGCCAAAATAAACATAACTGCACCAGGACATATAGAATACTCTTTAATCTTCCTATTTATTTTATTTTTTCTCCAAAAGGAGATTATTCAGCCTTTATTCAACCTAGAAAACTTCTAGGAAATCAGCAAGGTACACTCCAATAATTAACATCTATTTGCAGACATTCCCAAGACGTAGGTAAGAAAACTCAGGGACACCAAAGCACATTGCACAGGATACTGAGGTAGTGATCGACCATAGCTCATGTTTTCACATATTTTTAACAACTTCCAGAACTTAGAGACAATTCAGTCAAAGCTGAGGTGACAAGAATAGTAAAACAAACAAGCAAATAAATAAATCCAATCAGGGACAATCAAGCGTGCAAGGAGGAATAACTAGCCAAGATCACAGCCAAAGAGATTGAGATGACTATCAGATAATGGGATGAGTCAGCCCGCACCTTGGCTCCATGAATCTAGTCAATTTTAAACAATGCATTTGGCCCTAGCTAAACTTAATCTACAGCACAAGTCCTGCCCTTGCCAGAAGGCTTTTATTGAAGTGATGTGCTGAAATACTGGTATTGAGAGCTGAAATACCAGTTCCTGCAGGTACGCTGAAAGACCATACAGTAGGAATATATTAACCTTGTTTTAGAAGAAGGTAGGAGGAGGGTAATGAAGATATTTCAGGTCCACCAACAAATCAGAGAAGTCCCATGTTCAGTGTCTAAACAGAAAAGTCTGTTTAATTACTGCAAATCCTATTAAACTGATTTTCATTATAATGGCTGAAGTGACCAATTCCAACAGGCTAGAGAAGACATAATGAATTCAGAGTTTAATTAGGACACACTGTTAGCTAACTATAATCTATTAATTAGCATTCTTAGTTTTTACCGCTCATTGCAATAATACCCTTTTACTTTTAAATTGCACCCTTCTTTTTTTGGACCGAAGTTATACAATTCTACCACTGTGGTAGTAATTATAGTGATTGCCTAGAAAACAGCCGCCTGGAAGTATCTGTAAATGTTTAATTAGGGGATAAAGGAAAGACACGCACAAAAAAACTCTCAGATAGAGAAATCACTGTTCTCAAATCTATACATATTCAGTAGCCGCTTACTCCATTCTAAACCACACAGTCATTGTATTTCTGCTTCCAGATTTGCACAGCATCCTCAGATGTCAAAATTCACAAAAATATTGTCACATTTAAAAACATTCCCTTTCTCTTCAGTATGAAAACAGAACTTTAAAAGCACAAGGAGAGAACTGGGCAATTTAAATACTCACCTTCTGCTGAAAAATAAACAGCACCAAAAAGCTGAGTGAATGGCATTCTGTGTTTTCATTATACTAGCACTGTACCAGTGTCGTGGTTTGGACTGGGATAGAGTTAATTTTCCTCATAGTAGCTGGTACGATACAGTGTTTTGGATTTTGGATGAAAAAAAGTAATGTTACACTCATGTTTTACTTGTAACTGAGCAGTGTTTACACTAAGTCAATGACTTATGAGCTCCTTGGGCTGCTCTGCCAGCAAGAAGGCTGGGGATCCACAAGAAGCTGAAAAGGCACAGCATCAGGTCAGCAGACCTAAACTGATCAAAAGGATATCTCGTACCACGTGGTGTCATGCTGAACAATAAAATGGGAAGGAGCTGCATGGAGGGGGGCAACCACTGCTCAGTCCCTGGCTGGGCATCAAACTGAGTGGTGAGCAATCGTGTTGTGCATCTTTTGGTTTTTTGTTGTTGTTTGTTCCTTTTCTTCTTCTTTTTTCTTTTCTTTGTTTCTTATTGAAAAGTATCTCTGTATGAACTCACATATCTCAACCTTCACCTTTTTCAATTCTTCCCTCAGCCCACTGAGAGGAAAGTCAGCAAACAGCTGAATGGTATTTATCGGATTGCCAGATTAAACCACAACAACCAGCATAGCTGAATTCTTCACTAGATTACTCCTTCTAAGGAAATACTGCTCTTACAATAAAACGTTTTCACTTTAAGCTTTTTTACTCTAAAAAGACATGAAAATAAATATAAAATTTTGTGCATTGTCAAATCGCACCTTGCAACACTACCATTCAGTAAGAATACAGCTATAAAAGTGAATAAATTGATTAAATTATTTCATGCTAGTTCAAAAAAAGCAACTTACCTCATTACTAAAAGGGTGAAAAGAAAGCCTCAAGACTGCTTCAGTGTAGCAGAGTATCACTAACCTAAAGGAATCTACTACTTAAGTCACATTACCTGAAAATAGTACATAATGTGTTAAGTAGTGGTAGTACTATTTATTTTCTCCAGCTTCCTTCATCTTCCCAACAGAAACCAAAAAAAGCCCTGCTTAAAATAGTAAATATACCTGAACAGCTCAAAAAAAAACCCTAAACCTATAAATGAGTGCTTTATGATAGTTGTATAAGAACACAAGCACTGCTTATGACAAAAGAAAGTATGAGCAGGTATTAGACAGAAGTACTTCCAGGTAGCCAAGAACATGGTTTACATGTTTGCAAAAGTTGTAGGTCTGGAGGATTTAATAGAGCTCTAAACTAAGATCAGTGCCACGTGAACTTTGTTTTACTGGCAAACTATCAACATCCAGCAGCAGTTCAGTTGCATTTGAGGTCAGCAGTTAGTACATTCTGCATCTCAAGAGAACACTTCTGGAATTAAGCACTATACAAATAATGATCATGAGTGGCATAAAAGAGTTGCAAATTGGAACTGATTGGTGAACAACAGTCCCAGAAAATAAACGGAAAAAAAAGAACAGAAAATTAAAAAAAAAAAAATCATAAGGAAAAACACACACCGAAGAGGAGGCTTACAAGTCTGAAAAGAAACACTTAAAAAGATGAAAACTTCTTATTCATACCAATTACCTAAGGGGAGCCTATAAACAAGAGGTGGATCAACTCTTTGAAAGGGTTGATAACAGCAGGACAAGGGAAAGTGGTTTTAGGTTGAGGGAGGGAAGATTTAGGTTGGATGACAGGTTGGACTTGGATTGGACATCTCACCACTGTGAGAGTGGTGAGGTGCTGGAACAGGCTGCCCAGAGAGGTTGGATGCCCCGTCCCTGGAGGTGTTCAAGGCCAGGTTGGATGGGGCCCTGGGCAGCCTGGTCTAGTACTAAATGGGGAGGTTGGTGCCTGCCTGCAGCAGCACAGGTTGGAGATTCACAGTCCTTGAGGGCCCTTCCAACCCAGGCCATTCTGTGATTCTGTGATACCTGGGAAAAGCACTAAAATAATTTAACTAAGTGTGATACACAAGCTAACTCATTTAATCACACTACTGCACTAACACAACAACAACATCAGATAACAAACCTGGTTTTCTTCTTGCAAAACTCTATACTGTTCCTTCCAAATGGTGATTTTTGAAGCTTCATCTTTCCTCAGAGCTCTTTCTTTTTTTAGCTCGGGACTCCAGAAGGTCTTGATGCTGTTCATGGAAGAACTCAGCTTGCTTTCTTTCACCTCCACATCCTTGCGAAGCAGATCGTTTTCCCTTAATACTTCTTTGAGTTGCGTCTGCAGATCCATGATGGTGTTATCCCTGGCCTGGCGAAGTGAGTGAGGCACAGTGGACGCCATACTCACTGGAGGAAGATGGTGCTCTCCAAACGCGATAGTATCACTGGCAACTCCACTACTGGCAATGTTAGGGCTGCTACCCATTGCAGTCATCCTAACACCATAAGGCAGCCGCCCCCCAGACCGGCCCAAAGTCATGGTGCTTTTTGGGGTGTCTGCACCGACGTTCTCATGGTCACTGAGATACATAGGGCCAGACGTAGCATAGGCAGCGTTTAAGGACTGAATGTTTTCCATAGAAAGGGTTTTCCCACTGCCTCCCCCAGTACTGCTGCCAGAACTGCCTCCAGTGCTGTTGGTTCGACGATGGCCCAAGCGTGGTGACCGTGGCAGCCTTGGTGAACGCCCTGGACTCTGGTTGCTTGGCTCAGCCTTGCCAACTGACCGAGCACTTCCATACATGATTAAGCTGGTGGTGTGAGGCAATTAGACAGGCATAAATTAGGAATGAGAGAAATCCCGTGAAGCTCCTTAGTGTTTGTAAGTCAGCTTAAGGCCAATCAGAATTTGTAACAGATCCAGTTGTCCATCTTTGAAGTCACATGCTCACCATGTCCAGAACCACATCTGTATCAAGAAAAATAACACATTAACAATCTAGTTTATTCCAAAATATTTTGTCCCATATTAATAATAAAAGAATAAAAGCATATTCTACTGTCACTTTATTTCTCCAGCGTTTTTTGATACCCACTCACAAACAGCAATATTATTTAAATTCTAATATTTAAACTCAAAAAGTTCTACTCCTGGTTGTGTTTTTTGTTGTTTTTTTTTTTCCTGTCATTATCATGTAACGAGGGAGTGAAAAGAACATTCATCAGTTTTCAAGTCATAATGTTAATAGTCACATTGAGCAACTTCTTTTCCTACTTCTGACTCACCCTTATCCTTGATCTGTTTCTCTTCTGAGTAAAATAGTTTTAATCAAAATTTTAAGTCCACTTACTACATTAAGTAGTTTTTGTTTTGTTTTGTTTTGTTTTGTTGTTTTTTTTTTTTAAGTACTACTACTAGCTTTTGTAGGACGCAGTTTCTAAATCCTCTGTGTATCTGCACTGAAAACTAGTTTCAGTCTCTTTTTGCCTAAATGTGACTTAGTCTTTACTCAGATTAAGAAGTTCTCAGACAAAATATGTTTCTCATTTATCAGCTCAGAGTAGTTTTACTAAATACTATCATCCTAACAGCAGGGACTTCTCCAAAAACAGAACAGCATGATCACATCATGTTGCTATACCTTTCCCCTCTACTTTATATATGGATACGCAGTAAAATCCCTTATTTTTGCACTGTTACATTTTGCTGTTTTGCAAGTGCACTAGCAGGTACCTCCTTACTACAGAAATGCTGGGTTGAGACCACAGTTAATGAGCAGCTGTCAGAGGATAAAGAAACAAGGCTGAAATCTACTCTTGTGACTGAGCTACTACACTACTCTGTTCTCTCTTCTTCTGTTTTTAACTAATTTTTCCATTATGAACATTTCAAATCAGAATTGTGCTCAACTAAAATCTAAAAACTAGAACAAGACTGAAATATTCCTGCACTGACCTCTCCGCGTGAGACAAAAGGCTACCAAGTAGCATACAAAGACATCGTATATTCTAACATTTTTCCTTTCACACCAGCTTTAATCCAGCCCCACCTTCTGCTGGTTTAACAGATACTAGCAATCACTCAATCAATTTTTTCAGCTCCTACGGCTGAGGGCACGTTTGGATTTGATGGATGGACCACTTGCTAGATAAGTAATTAGCTGCATGGTCACACTCCTAGAGTTGCGGTCAGCAGCTCAATGTCCGAGAGTAGACCGATGATGAGTGGCATTCCTCAGGGGTCAGTGCTTGTGTGGTATTATTTAACATCTCTGTAGATGACGTGGGCAGTGGGATGGAGTGCACCCTCAGCAAGTTTGCAGATAACACCAAGCTGAGTGGTGCAGTTGACTCCCTAGAGGGAAGGGATGCCATCCAGAGGGACCAGGACAGGCTTGAGAGGTGGGCCCATGCCAACCTCATGAAGTTCAACAAGGCCAAGTGAAAGGTCCTGCATCTGGGTCAGGGCAATCCCAAGCACAGATTGGGCAGAGAATGGCTTGAGATGAGCCCAGAGGAGAAGGATTTGGAAGTATCAGTTGATGAAAGATTCAACATGAGCCAGCAGTGCATGCTTGCAGCCCAGAAAGCCAATTGTATCCTGGGTTGCATCAAGAGAAGTGTGACCAGCAGGTCAACACAGGTGATTTTGCCCCTCTACTCTGCTTTCTTGAAACCCCACCTGGAGTACTGTGTCCAGTTCTGGGGTCTCCAATGCAAGAAGCACATTGAATCATAGAATCATAGAATCACCAAGGTTGGAAAAGACCTAAAAGATCATCCAGTCCAACCGTTCACCTATTCCCAATAGCTCCCACTAAACCATGTCCCTCAACACAACGTCCAGCCTTTCCTTGAACACCCCCAGGCTCGGTGACTCCACCACCTCCCTGGGCAGTCCATTCCAGTGCCTGACCACCCTTTCTGAAAAGTAATACTTCCTCATGTCCAGCCTGAATCTCCCCTGCCGTAGCTTGAAACCATTCCCTCTGGTCCTATCACTAATGACACGAGAGAAGAGGCCGACCCCCAGCTCACTACAACCTCCCTTCAGGAAGTTATAGAGAGCAATGAGATGTTGGAGCAGGTCTAGAGGAAAGCCATGAAGGTGTTCAGAGGGCTGGAGCACCTCCTCTGGTGGTGCTGAGAGCTGGGGCTCTTCATGCTGCAGAAGAAAAGGCTTCGAGGAGACCTTATAGAGGCCTTCCAGTACCTGAAGGGGGCCTAAAGTAAAGCTGGGAAGGGAATTTTTATAAGGGCAGGTAGTGACAGGGCAAGGGGAAACAGCTTTAAACTGGAAGAGGGTGGATTTAGACTAGTTATCAGGAAGAAATCCTTTACAGTGAGGGTGTTGAGATACTGGCACAAGTTGCCCAGCGAGGTTATGGATGCCTCCTCCCTGTAAACATTCAAGGCCAGGCTGGATGGGGCTTTGAGCAACCTGGTGTAGAGGGAGGCATCCCTGCCTATAGCAGGGGGGTGGAACTGGATGATCTTAAAGGTCCCTTCCGACCCAAACTAATCTATGACTCTATGGGTTTTAAATCACAAACAGAACAGAGTAGTTTTCCATTTACACACTATTTCATAGAAGATACAGTAGCATGAGTTATTTTACAAAGCTGCAACTGCGTTTGATGAGCAGTGCTCAAGAAGTTCAAGTGCTCACTTTCTTATATTCTTTTCTTTTTTAAAATGACAGCCATAGCTACTCTGCTCAGTCAAGTGACAACGTTGCTATGGAATATTTTAAACACACACATAAAGGAAAAAAGAACAATGATAGCCAGTACAATCAATAATTGAAGTTCGCTCCTAAAACACTATCTACAGATTTATTTTTTAAAATATAAGTTTCAGATAGGAAGTTTCTTCTATTTCAACCACATATCCTTATGCAAAACAGCACAGAAGTATAAACTACTCAACAAAGTCTGCAGTGTTTCAGTGGAGTAACTTCAATAACCAAGAACCTGTGCTCCGATCTGAAAGAAAAATACTTTTTCCAAAGAGAAAAGCTATTTCAGACTAATCTTAGTGTTTGAGATACCAAAATGCTAAAAATGCTGCTGTGGCACCCATTAGGAACTTAAAACAATCAGATATTTCTTAGATGCTATGCAAATTATTTTCAACTGAGAGCCTGCATTCACAAGGATTCTCACGAGAATTAATCCAAATCAAAACACTTAACTCATTTGCTAGAAACTCACCTCAATAAATCACTGCCAACACTCATTCGCTTCAACAGCTTTCAGTAAGTTTTAACTCTAAACAAAAGGTTACACATTTTATTCCATTTAGTTAAAGCACTTTCACCTCCAAAAGCATCAAGTTGAAATGACACTAGGAACACATTATGGCTGCATGCAGAAGTATCACCTAGTAAGTGCTTAATGACACGCAAGAAGCACACAAAAGATTTGAGATCATTTCTAATGAGTTAATCACTCCTGAAAAGGGGAGCATGGAGGGAAGTAAACTCACGAAATCGTTTTCTCTTTGCTTTAGGTAGCATTTTGCCAAACTACTGGTAGCTTTTGAATGAATGAAAGCAACCAGTGTCCTCGATAGAAAAGCAGCTTCCCATGTAGCTGAAAGCAGTTGATAGCACACAGTGTGTCGTACCGCTGCCACGCTCCATACAGCAGGCAGCCACATTAACCCTATTCCACTGCAAGCAAAAACACCAATTCTGCACTAATTCATCTCTCACCTCTGTTTCACAGGTAGGTGCCACCCTCTCCACTGCTCAGGAAAAAAATAATCAAGTAATTCAAGCTAGAATTAGCTACTGAGTTAGAAGATCATTAGCGTTCCAGAAAGGAATCACAGAGTGGGCATGTGACACTTGGGGGAAGACATCAATCCCATGTATCACATGGCTCTCACTTTTAAGTAGAAAAAGAAATAAAACAGTACCTTCAAAAAACGTCTCTGGAAACAAGAAAACCTCACACTACTTCTCTTGAGCTGAGAACTTTAATTACAGGCCTGAAAATTGTGCAAATCCCAAATATTAACTAAATACTACTCCTTCCCAATCATGCAGCCAGTTTTAGTATTTTCACTGACACAGAAGTCTGTCACAGTTCAAGAGAAAAAGTCACATGGGAAGATAAATCATTTTAACTGCTCCTTCAGGATTTTTTTCCAGCAGTATTCATCACCGACCATTTTGTTTTAGTGCTGTTAGGAATCCAGCAGCAGAAGCAGATATTAAGACAATTCATTCTAGGAAAAACATCTTTCATCCCGGAAATAGCAAAGTCAAACAAGTGACAGAAATGCCTCCTCTCATTTCCAATCAACAAGAAGAAAGTTCTAACTTCCTTCCAGTAACGTAAGCAGAATTACATGGAAGACTTCTTTCCATAGCAGCATAAGCAGAAAAGCTAGAGTTCTTCAATATCCTGAGCCACACTAACATTTTTGCTAGCAGTCTCAGAAGTGCAGCTTCTTATCTTCACAAAGTCCAAAATAACACCTTTTTTTTTTTTTTCCTCCTTTCCTCTGCTATGATTCTAAATTTATTCACAGCTAAACCATCTCTTTACCTTACGGGACAGTTGAAACCACAGGGAACAGTGGCAAACTGTGACTTGAATGCACTGACCATTCTGGCTTTGCAAATTCCTCTATTGGTTTTAAAAAACTTTGGTCCTCTCAGTCAATACAAGAAGCCTTAGGTACGATTAGGAAAAAAAATTATGAACTGTGGATGTTTAAAACATTAGTAATAAACTGCTGAGGTCAGTGCTAAACAATTTTTCCTCAATGTATGAGGCATACTTCCACATCTGTGAAAGAAAACTCTTTTACTCACTGAGAAAACAAAAACTTCCAAAGAGCATCATATCTGTAACCCAGCTAAAATCTATCTCAAAAAAAATCAGCAGGCAAGCTAAAAACTTCATCCATGCATCTAGAGATTGTCTCAGCAGCTTTGCCAAAAGAGATACACAATCT